TATTAACACCGTTGTGATACGTGCGGTAGTAGAACGTACACGCGCACACGATCACACAGCATGTTGTGAATGATTGGAAGGAATTTTATTTTAGAAACCTTGATCCGGTTATTCACTAGTTCAGTTGTCTGAAAGATAAAGGTTTATTTGTGAAAAAATTTATTTAAATTTGATTTTTTTTATTCGTGAAACACACAAGACTGAACTGTTATAAAGCTTTTTATTATCTAAAATTATATATATATAAGAACATTAATAATATACTTTACAATTATAAATGATATATAATACACGAAAGTTCAAATGTTTTCTGTATGAAACAACAATTGAATGCAAGCACTTCGTCCTCGCGAACAGAACATTGTGACAATGTGATCGGCACACAGGCAGACGAACAGCTTATATTTTAAATGATGTTGAATTGAAATGGCTGAAAATTTATAAAAGTTAGTAACAAATTTCACGGCTTAACACGTTTATCAACGCGATGATAATTAAACTAAATAATAAATAAAATCAAAAATTCAACGTCCAGAATTTCAAATACAGAAAATTATTATTCGAAAATTAGGTTGCCAATACTAAGAAAAAAGAAATTTAAATTCTCTCGTCAATTCAATTACAACCAATTTGACAATCACAAAATAGGATGTACTAATTTGAAGCTTTAAGTTAAGTATTGTTAATTAGTATTTACATGTACACATATTGCATTAAACCAAATCCAAAATGTGTTTAATCAATCTTTTATATATATTTTAATGTATATATTTCATTATATACTTTATATATATACATACATACCACTTAGTTAATACAATGAAAATATATGTATAAAATGAAATTTATTCATTTTTAAATCTTTAATATTCACTTTATACAATAACAACGAATTAAAAATTTTGAAATTACATAAGATAGATTTTGAAAATGAGGTAGGCGATGTGGATTGTGGCTTGATTTGACCGTGCATTGCATTGAATTGGGTTGTTGTATATGCATCTCAAAAGGTGTCATCATCATCTCTCCACGCTAGTAAGAAATGCTCTCTAATAATCATCAATAAAAAGGAAAATGTGAAGTATCATAATGACAAACAGTGCTATTTAATACGCATATAGTAAATTATATATTCGTATTGTTAGAAAATCGCCCAACTTGAACATCTCAGCAGTGGGCTGGTTTCATTTAGGCAATACTAATCCTACACGAAAAAGCTCGTCTACGAAATCAATCGGTTTCATTCTCCTCTTGTGGCTGCTGATGTATAATATTGAATTATTTAAACCTTGAGGAAATCAAAAGAGAAATATGTAAGGTACCGTAAATCGTTCAATGACCAATGAGCAAGTTCTATCCAAATCATTAAAGACATTTCGATGTCAAACGATCAAAGAGCGCTGTCCCATTCCATATATTAAGATTGGGATTTCGCCGAGTAAAATGAAAACACCTTCCCGATGCAACTTCTAAACGCACGCAACATATCGTTAACGCTGACACCTTACTACTAATACATTCTCACTACTCACCATCGTCAGTTCAGTCGATGCGACGAACTATAATGCCGTAATAATGAATGATGAGGTCAAGAAAGATGATAAAAAAAGGGATGATGATGACGACATGACAAATGTAACACGCGCAGCAGAGCAAGTGCAAGAAGCTATCGGCAAATACATCATAAACACATACTGTTTTCAAATGACTTGTACTCTACACATTAAAAAACATTCGCACACAATTTCTTTAAGAAGATTACTAGTTGGCAGGTAAGAACCAAGTGAGCTGAAGCAACCGCATTAGTGAGGAAATGAACTGGATATGGAAGGATCGCTACATTTGGAGAACATAAGAGGAAAAACATGCTGGATTTCGTGTTATCTTGTTTGGAGATGCTCAGTCATGGTTCAGTTGTCAATATGGAATATAACTTGGGCCCAACGTTTAACTCTAAATAGTATATGACTATCGTCAGCATTTGAAGGTGTAAGAGGTTGAGTAGTTTGGAAATGGTAAATATGACTGATGGTGCTATCAGTGAATGCAAGCGAATAATGAAGACAAACGCAGAAAAACATCTAACGATTACAAAAGTTAATGTAAACTTAATGGCAGATAAGTAAGATTTGCCAAATATAATGCACAGATAGCAAAACATGGACTAACAAACAGAAGGACAGAGACTTACACAACAAAAATTAAAAGATAAGAGTTGAATGTATTTTCATCTTCAACGCTAAAGTCAAGAAGAAGCTAGTAGCTACCTTATAAACCTACGCTGTTGTGCGTCAATCAACCTTTAAAATGACAATTCAAAATAAAATGACATCAAAACAATAGAACTAAAAAAATTATAAAAATATTTAATATACATATTTTATATATATATATACATATATTATATATATATATATTATATATGTAATATATATATATATATATATTATATATATAACATATGTGTATATATGTGATTATTTGTTTTATTTTTATATCACAGCATCAATAATGAAAACAATCATTTACGTTAATAAAGTAAATATATAATATGATGATAATAATAATAATATATAATAAAAAATTAAAAAAGTAACAGTGCTAACTTCAGAAGACATAATAATAAGAATAATAATAGTGATAAAAAAAATTGGAAAAATAATAAGATAATAATAAAAGTAATAATCTAAATTATAGAAACATATATTAAATAACTTGGTAAAATGAAAAAATATAAGAAATATGATTCGAAAAAAGCGTTTAGATGACTTTTGAATGGACCAAACATGTAATAAATTGAAACGAATGAATCTTGCCGATTCACAGTTAATAAAACAGACTTCATTTTGTATCACAGTGAATTTTTTTCTCTATATTCTTAAAAAATAAAATAACACACACAAAAAAAAGCTACTTAACAATCATCATGTGAATAATAAAATAATAATAATAAAGAAATAATTACAGAGAAGCCAGTGTTTCCAGTAGACATATGCCCAAATATATAATTTTATATGTCTTTTCACATCCAAGCACAGACACACACACACAACACACACGCACAAACACACACGCACAGACAATCATCATGTTGTATATACATCCAAAAAATGATTATATGTACACGCTTTTCAGATTAAGAACAACTTTTTAAGTTATTGTTACATCAGAAATTTTATAGTAGAAAACAAATTAATAATTCTATTTTATTTATTATAAGCAATGTGTATTTGACAAATTTTAAGTCTCAAACAATAAATCAGGCCCACAAAGATGCACACATAGGCACGCCAACAAAGGCGCACAGTCACACATACACAACACACACACACACGCAAATGCAAGTACAACACAAAAAATACATGGAAAATTTCATAAAAATTCATCCAACAGATGATAACAAGCACATAAAGATGTATATCATGACCATCATCATCTCCACCATCATCATCATCATCTTCACCATCCTCATCATCACTGTTATCAACATTTTAGTCCTTTAGCTCATATTTCTCATTATTTAGTTGCACAATAGTTGAGAACATCAACAAAAACATCACAAAACCCGACCCGACATGTATGTACCATACTACTCCTACTACTACAACAAAAGATTAACTAATTAGTAAGTAATTTAAGAAAATAACGAAAAAAAGTTAGATGCACAATCAAATTATATACACGAAAAATGTTATTATTACCATCAATTCTCTTCATGTACAACCTTTGTAAACGTTATTTCATTGATTTAATTTGGAGAAATGTTAAAATGTGCCTGTATGATGCGTGTGAGTTACAAGGTAACGTATCTTTCCAAATGTACACAAACAGAAGATAAACATATAACATATATCATTATACCAATATATCTATACGATAAATATTTATTTAATGATTAATCTTTTAGAAATTGAGGGTAAATATAATGAAAATATGCGCTCTTATGAATTTTTTTGAAGACAAGCAAGAAAAATTATTAAATTCTGCCTCTCACATATTGTATTGTATGTAAACACATCAACCCAAAAAAACATAATAACAATAATAACTATATATAAACTTAAAACATCCATCCACATCTTAGTACTAAGATGTTCTTCAAAACTAATAAAATATTAAAATTTACAAGATGTACGTACTTTGTATGTGTGTGTGTGTGTGTGTGTGTGTGTGTGTGTGTGTGTGTGTGTGTGTGTATGTATGTATGTATGTATGTATGTATGTATGTATGTATGTATGTATGTATGTATGTATGTATGTATGTATGTATGTATGTATGTATGTATGTATGTATGTATGTATGTATGTATGTATGTATGTATGTATGTATGTATGTATGTATGTATGTATGTATGTATGTATGTATGTATGTATGTATGTATGTATGTATGTATGTATGTATGTATGTATGTATGTATGTATGTATGTATGTATGTATGTATGTATGTATGTATGTATGTATGTATGTATGTATGTATGTATGTATGTATGTATGTATGTATGTATGTATGTATGTATGTATGTATGTATGTATGTATGTATGTATGTATGTATGTATGTATGTATGTGGTATATATTGTATATATACACAAGAGGAGGCAATGCAGAAACATTTCTACAAAATGATTTAAGTGTTTATATAACAAAGTTTTATAAAATATAATGATGATTTGTGCCTAATAAGTTGAACAAATACCTAAGTAAGAGTTAACCTTAGCGCAAATCTTCGTAATTAGTAGTAAGTAGTTTATGAGGTGAATCTTTTTTTTTATTAGTGATGAAATGTTAGCTGTTGAAATTTCAAGAAACAAAAAATCAGACACAGGCATGAATGGAGTGCAATACAACAAGTCATCACTAATACAGAGGCATTTGTTAAGTGGAGTGCACTTTTTTTTTATACAACAGCTGGTCACTGGAGTAGAAGCGTCATAGGAAAAGACGCGTCTCATTAATTAATCTATTATTTAATTAATTAATTAATTTATTTATTTATTCCTTCATTGGACCAATCTGACATCTCGGACATCGGTTGGTGTCTTTGAGGATGTCATTTCGTCCGGTGAGATGATCAGACTTGTGGAAAGTGATAAGACGGATGGATTTGAAGATGTTGATTGAAACGAATTGGAAATGCCCTCATCATCGTCGTCGTCGTTTTCATCAGTGTTACCGACAGAATATGATGAGGTCTGTTGTTGTTGTGGGCTGGCCTTGGTCGACTCACAGAGATGATTGGTCAGCAGTTGCTCAATCTGCTCCTGGCATGTCTTTATGCATTCCTGTGGTATCCATTTTATTAGAATAACTTTCATAAGAAAATGAAAGGTAAAAATTATTTTACACGTATATAAATAAAACAACTGATGATATTTAGCACTTATGAGTTTAGAAAAGGTCGAGTTAGCTAGAGACAGTTAACGGTACTGATCAGTTGAATTATTTAAACAAACATTCATGTAGATTTTATTGTTTTCAACGTTATACACTCATTCCTGGCTAAGCAGTTTAAAAAATTATCAGTAAAAATTCACAAACATGAAATTGTTTGAGAGGAAAAAAATGTGATACAAATTCTTACAATATCGATGGAGGTGAGTTCGTGCAGTTGTTCATAGAGCAATGTATTTTCACACCAGGCTTTGGAATATAAACCAGAGATGGCAGTGCATATGCAGGCACATGCCATCAGCGAGGACGATTGAATAGCAAATTTGAATTCTGCAAATAATTAATTACCATACAAATACTGACGTTGTATACCTAGTAGAGGACAGCAAAATAAAACTTGAATTCATTTTAAAAAACAGTTCTATAAAAAAAAAATCATAGAAATAAAAGTAACAAACAGAATAATTAAATAACAATGAGACCTGTGGCGCATAGGGAAATAAAGGTCTGAGCATGTCGAATGATTTGCTGATGGTGGGTAGGGTCGACCTTGAGACGAGGGGTCAAATAATGGAGGTAATCTTGAGGTATGATGGCACATGTATCCCACTTCAACAGCTGCATCACCAACATCTCCCACTCCTAAACAAACAAACAAACAAAAATAAAATTATCATCACGTCATCGTCATCTTCTTCAACGTCACCATCATTGTCATCTTCATCCCATCCTCATCATCATCTTCATCGTCACCATCATCAAAACACGATAGCAGTATCAGTAGCAGCAACAGATGTTGAGTATGACACATCTTATTGCATGAACATAATTCTCATACGAATATAATAATCAATGCCATGTAATGCAGATAGGAATTTGCATGAATGTACATGTATAAAAATGACAAAATATAAAAATCCAGTAGCGAATTGACGCGAAGTACCAAACACTACATCACTAAGAATATAAAACTTGATTACTATTAATGATGTGTGATATTTTCATTGTGAAGGATTAAAACGCTGAAATACTTTGTACCTGTGTGTCTTTTATATAATAAACTGGTAATTAACAGAAAATATGTATTTAATTATTTACTATAAAATATAAACAACTTGTAATTATTAGATAAATATGGGTAGACAAAAAATATCATTGTCACAAGAGTAAGTAAGTATGTCAGTAAAGTAAATACTTCAGAGCAGAATTTAATATAATTTAAATAATAATTTAAATAATTATCAATAATGAAAGCGCGAAAAGGCTTGCGATTGAATATACTGTGACGTAAAAAATGGACACGTATTAATTGTTGTTAAATATAAATTAAACTAAACAATAAATGAATAAATGAATGAATGAATGAATGGATGGATGAATGAATGAATGGATGATTGATTGAAAGAATTATCAGGTAATATGCACGCACATACACACGCAAAAATATGCAATCAGACTTATGCAATCAAGGTTCAAGTAATAAAAAAGATCTTGATAACATATATGGTTATACACAAGTCTCGTTCTTTCTATATAAAAACATATACTCATATATCTACAGTAGAAGCACATTAACAACTGATTTGCATATGTAGTAGTTATTATTTTATTATTACTATATGACATCTCTCAACAATGACTCCACAGATTATTTCCCACACGATTTTAAAATTGTTAAAGTCTTAGTAAGAAATACTTTTATCTATCATTAAACAGCGAATTTTAAAGAGCTACAGCAGATAATAGACGCATGAATGACCATTCAGAGCTAACGAATGACGTCTTATATGTAAACTATAAAAGAACCGTTGAATGATATACAAATACATTGCTCACTCACTTACATGGGGTCCGCAAAAACAGATTAAATCTCCATGAAGCAATTTTCGCTTTTGCAAATTTCAATTAATTCATACGGAACCTCAGTTTATCAGTTATATAAACTTTTAGGTTTGAATTCTAACTTAATTCCCTAACCTTATCAATCTAAACTAAATTAGTATAAGCGTGCGTGCGTGTGTGTACGTGTGTGCGTGGACAGTTATTAACCTGGCTACCAAATAAAAACATGATTTTCATTGCAGAGCAAATGACTGAATATGGCTGAGAGCAAACCGTGCAGACCGTGCAGAGAGAGATTAAACTTAAAATAATTATCTACTCTTGAAGAAATGCAAATAACATAGTAAATATTATCTGTTCCCACGGACAGCCAGAAATTCACTCACAGAGAAACTGAAAATATTTGATTTCACTGATTTTTTTTTCCAAATACTTTAATAAGTTGATTTGATGAATTTGTTTATAAGAGGATCATTTTGGTTGTTTATGGATTATTAACAATAAATGATAATATTAAATTAAGGTAATAAAAGTGATTTTAAACTGTTTGAAAAATGAACTCGAATTGCATTGAAAAAAACATCATTTCACAACTAAAGGTTATATGATGCTATATTTTTGGATGAAAATTTTTGTGAGAGTTAATTTGAATGATGCCAATTTCAGTCAGACCATGTGAAAGAGTCATCAAACGGTTTAGAACTTTAGAATTTGAAACCTCTTTCAGTTAAATATAATTCTAAAATTTTGACATAAATTTTTAAATGGATTTGAGAAAATTTAAAATTTATTATGAAACTGTTCGTTCTCAATCTCTCTGACGAACGTTACAATACAAAAAACAATACCTTAGATACGTTGAAAATAATGAATTTATTAAACCAACAATTAAAAATAATAAAGAAATAATTTTTAATAAAAAACAAACTTACACCAAGAACGAACAAGAACAAGCAAGTAAATATTTTTATACAATGTCTGCAATGAAAACCATGGTAATGAAAACACACATCACATTTTCATCCTCCACACAATCAACTTCAACATTAAGGGCAACATTATCGTTAGTTAACGTCATCATCATCAGCATCATCACTACCACAATTAATAACCAACAAACTTACTCACACACACAAACACATATGCACAAGCTCACATTAATGAACCCATGTAATGTGACTAAAAGAATTATTGCAGACAGACCAAGCACAAGTTCTACAACATTCACCTAAGTTTTAATTTGTTGATGTTTGCTTGCTTGCAGTAGTAGGCAATTTTGCAAAAAATTAATTTAAATAAGAAAATGAAATTGAAGGTTTGAGAGTCATCTATCTATATATCAGTGCATTTTTAATCACTTTACATTTCCTGTTTAGTTTAAAAGTGAATGTAGCTAAACTAAAAAGCAAATTAAAACTTTGTTGAACATGGTACTAATCTAACTTCCAGTAATAACCTGAAAAATATGCACATGCACATACAGCTGTTTTTCCGGTTAGTTAGTACTTGGTTGTGTCAAAGGATATGTGTATGTATGTATGTATGTGTCCTACTGAGTGTACATTTGTACCATTGTGCACAATTTTTTACATTGTATATTTGTGTGAATGAGATATAAATGTCATGATGAATGAATACTTGTAAATGTTTGAAAGGCATTAGTATATATCATATAATCCTTATAATCTCAATTGCCCATTGGTTCTTCTTCACATATACACTCATAAACACACAGACTCATACACACACACACATACACAAACACACGCACACACACATGCACATACATACAGATACAAGCGGTCACAAGCATTCAAAGATCAAAAATAACATCATACTTGACTACTTATACTCAAACACTATATTACAAACAACTACTTGGTCATGTGAAAATAAAAAAACCTGTTTCATTTTTATAAAAAACAGTTCTGTCTGTGATCAGTATGCAAAAAAATTTAAAAAATCAACTAAATATAGCCCCTGAGATTCAATAATATGCAACAATAAAAAAAACAAGTCTAACTAGTGCAATGAACTATGATGAAAAGTTACATCAACGGTGAACAAACAACACAGCAATCTACATAACAAAGAGTAGATAAACTCTGAGTATAATAAAAATTATTCCACCACACTATAAACACCAAAGAGTATACAGAAATTTTGAAAAAAGAAAAAGATTTATGAACATTTGACTGCAGACAAAAAAAAACATTGCAGTCCTTATTTATATTGTTATTATTACCCCGAAAAAAATGAAATGTCTATGGAAACAGAGAAATGAAAATCAGATAAGTTTTATCGGACATGAAAGGTGCAAAATGGAGATAATTTGATGCATTTGGGAGAGAATATTTTAAAAATTCAAAAATTGTAAGAACATTGAATGTAATAGTAACAACAGTCAAGTATCTATCTCTATTACCTAACTACTCTAAAGAGAGAGTTATGGCAAAGAAATCACATCAGCATAGGACCCATGCTAAATTCTGTACTTCATCTAGGGAGAGGGCTACATACAAACCACTTCAATTTTAAGAAGAAACTGATAATTTATCATCAACAAACTTCCTTAAATTAAAAATTGGAAAGAAAAAATAAACAAAAGAACAAGATGATTAACTCGTAAATAAGATAAAAATTGTATTAATATATATCAAAATATCTTTGCAAGTGGTTTATTATAATTCAGTGCCTAATAAAAATTGTAATCGTATATAAAAATCAATAAAAAAAGAATCAATAAACTCGTAAAAGGTACTCTACCATTTCACTATTATTTCATTTTTTGACTTTCAGAAGTTTTTAAATGATCTAGGCAAAAATTTTATCACCAAAAATATTTAAAAGATCAGCTTTTCCAACTTTTTTAAAATTGTTATTAAACTTATTTCTATACACTTGGATGAACAAGCTCGAAAAATTGTTAAGGATGTTGATATAGTCTGAGGATTATATATAGACACGCACACGTGCACACACACGCACGCACACACACACACAGCTGGATCAAGCCATGTTTGTTTGCTGTGACTACAGACCTAAAGTGACTACAGATCTAAAATGTTCACAAATAAACGCTCATCCCTTTAAATACGTCTAAATGAGCAATAATGGTGAAACTAAAGTTTAAACTGAAAATTTTAAATTTTAATAAGAAACTCTTACTCTGGTCATAAACATAAAATCTCAGTATTAATTGTCTTCATCTCTTCAAAAACTTATTCAACAACTTTACCCAAATCAACACCCTCAACAACAACTTCATCAATAAACAGTTCTTCCTAAAATTGAAGGAACCAAATTTAATTTATGACTGATTTCATTTATGAGAAAAATCTAGTTTGTTGGCATAAGACATTCAGAGCAGTTAGATGCAGTATCCTGACTAACAACAATAATGGTCAAAAAAATAGAAAATATATTTCAATTGCAATTATTACTAATAACATAAATATATACAATTGACTGTGAGAACTTTCATAGAACTTTTAGAAAACTAAAGTTAGATCAAGAAAAAGTTGAGATTACAATGTCAAAAACTAGAATAATCTGGTTGTCTAACACCTATGTATATAAGCTTTGTAACACTACTTTTCTGAATGTGTGTGAGGATGGTTAGTTACACTGTCAAACTGAATTTTAAATTAACATTCAACCCATTCAACTCAATTGGAGGAAGTACCCCAAATCAAATTTTATGGTTTTAAAATCCCGAAGTCAATATTGGTGAAACCACTAATGTAGGCTGTGTATTCCTTCTAAGGAACATTGAAATAACATATTTGAGTTGAAATAAGCACATAGCAAATATTCAGTCTATAATTTCAAAAGCATTTCTGAATGGAAAAATGTTTTAAAAAATTAATGGTCTCAAAATAAAATTTAAATTTATGAGATAAAAAAATTTTAATAAAAATCTCAATTGAATATAAAAAAAGAAATAGAAACTAATGGAGTAGAATGTTTGAAAGCAAATAATTATACATAAGTGGTAGCTGGGATAACAATTTAGATAAGACAAAATTGTAACAGTTAATTTTATAACAGATAATATAATTTTTCATTGGCAAGTAAAGTGTAGAACAAAAGAGAACAAAAATTAAGCTTTTAAAAATGCTAACGTAAAAGTTAATAAAACCAACCAGGAGATCTTGGAGCTCAATAGAATTATCTGTGTAAGCAACTAATTTATAAGCTTCGAACGGAACTGACTCTTTAACTTTGGAGGCAATGAACAAACAGGCGACAGAGAGCAGTTGCAATTTCGTTTTTTCAACACTGTGGCAGGACAGAACTCGGTCGAGGTAGTTCATCGCCAGTGAAAACACTCCTTCTTCTCTATACTGCTCTTCGCATACCTGATCAAAAAATTTTAGATTTACTCTTTATATATTCAACTTTTAAAAATTTAAATTCCAGCTAGTGCAAAAAGTGTTTAATTTAGAGCCATCATTAAAAATCTTGAAAACTTGAAAGAGTAATGTATCTTAAACCTTGTACTTTAGATGTTCACAAATAAGTAACTTGTAATATGGTGGATGTTCAAAAATTAACAGCAGAAATGAAACATTTTAATGATGTGAACAAACATAATCTCACACAACAATGAGTTATTATGATCATAATTATTAATTAATATATTCAATAAAATGCTAAAACAAACAAGCAGAGGTCAGTTTGAAACCTTGATATATGGAGCAAGCAGGCTTCATAAAATTTGTTAAAAATCTTCAAGTGGTAAGAAAAGAATATTTTATAAGGTTATGAGAGAATATTAACTTACGATTCTGTAGACAATAACTATCTTTATTCAACAAAATATAAACTAATGAAACAATAAATAATACCTTTTTACCTTTTTAATAACTTAAATTTAAAATACACACTAACTTGCACATAAACACAAGCACATGACTACACGCACACAAACAAACAAACAAACATGACAGGAGTGAAATAAACAGGCAAACAACACTGGCAAAGATGATGATGCTAAAGAACAATTCCACAGGTTAATTTAATTCCACAAGCGTCATAGTTGGAACAGTTCAAGATATATAACCTGAAACGCAAAAATATATGTACTCCAACAATTTTTATTCTCGTTTTTACATATTTTTAAAAATTTTTAAAATGATATATGTATAGAAAATTCAATACTACATTCGTGTGTAAGTGGGTAGTTCTAAAATAATATAAAAAAATGTTCCATAGACACAACAATTAAATTTAGTCTTCTATTTTAATTTTAATTCATGGAAAGCTAGCAATGAATAATTTTACAATTTAAATGGCTTTTAAACATGAAGAATTAAAATAGTCACTTTAACACCTGTCATTTTAATACTACAGATATGCCATTTAAAGAATGTAGGTGATTTCATTAAGATAAATTTTATCTATAAGTTCAAACTGGTCCATTTTGCTTCATTAATTTCATTAAAAATTATAGGTGAAGTGAGTGAATATTATAATGAAATAGATGCTATAGATTGTAACACTTGAGTTTCTTAAAATAAGGACCACTCACAGTTTGTGAGCAAGCTGATATATTAACAAAAAGCACAGCACAAACTTCATTATCAAAATCTACATTATCACATTTTGGCTGTTGCCTGCAGCTTATGCTAGACATGCTTATCATTATTACAACAAACAAATAAATATTTCTTTGCTGCGTTTGTTGATGATAGTTTGTAATTTTACAAAGCCCATATTTTTCAAAATATTGTTTTCTAAGAGTTTTCTACAACCAACACATACTAAACTTTTAAAATTAATCCTAGCAGCATTCTAGCTAACACGGACTGTTTACTTAATGGTCCTCACAGCTCTTGAGCAAGCAGAGTTTATAAATATGCATGACCCACTGGGCTGCATAGATCCATCCATCCATTCAACCCTGCCTTTCATCTTTTAAGATCTTCTTACTTAACTTAGCGCTGAAATCTTTCAACTGTTACCTGGATAAGTTTTAAAAAATATATGTATAAAAAAATGTTCAACACATTCACATAACATGGTGAGGTGATATCAAATGTTCAAATAGAGGCTAACGTAATAAAGTTAACAGAATAATATCAATCTATCACAATCACAACTTCAACTAACGTCAATTGATGGCTATTAAATTTATATCACTGCTGCTGCTGCTACTACTGACAATACCGCTACTTAAATACTTGTTATCTGTGTTAATAAGATCTCACACTCAGTAAAATTTCAACGGATACAATGAAGCATTTAAATTACAAAAGAGTCATTGAAAATTAACAGGATATAGAGGAATTCTTTTATGTGTAATGCCAATGTTAGAGAATATTCAAAGCAACATGCTTTAAACATTAATCTATGATGATACTCACGTTGCTAGAAAAATAAATGAGATACGATCATCATTTGCTTTCTAGATAGTTAATCATCATTTTTGTAATCAATATTATGTATATTAGTTATAAAAAGAATAACTATTACTAAAAATTTAATATCTTCATCAACATTAACATTATTGTTATTATTATTATTATTATTTATTATTGTTATTATTATTTTAATGTTTTATGCTGTAGGTAGGTAGGCAGTAGAATTAATACCTGTGGAAGACTAAATTGCTGAGACCAATTTTTGATTCAAAACTATCTAATTATATGCAATATAGTAATTACATCAATTATTGTGAGTAAATAAATAACAACAGTATCATTTTGTTATGTTATGTTATTTTTTTATTATCATGTTAATCATCACCATCGTTATCATCAGCATCATCGTTATGGTCATTCATTATTGTGAAACAGGGGTGGGCAAACTATGGTCCGCCAAAAAAAACATTATCACCAAAAATAAGGAACCACAAATTTTTAAAAAAATTTCAAAATTTCCAATCATCGTCATTGATATTGTTACAATTCTTGTTACAAAGTTCTTCAAAAGGTCACCCACCACCACCAACAACAACAGAAACAACATCAGCAGCAACAACAACGACGAATTAGCATTTGTTGTTGTTAAATGAAAATAGCAGTAAATTTCAATTAGCAGCCGGATGCCAGCTCTTTTCATTTGAAATAATAATATATTGCACGCCTATAGCAACAAAGTACTTACTACTGTGTAGACATACACACACGCAAGTACACACTTATAAAATTTGAACATGCAGGCAGCAAATATGAAGTAGATTTATATGTAAACAAGAGTTAAAACCCGCTATTAGCCATTATTCATTCGATATATGGCAGAGCAGATAGTGCAATTCAAATTTTAAAAGGATACCCTTTCAAATTATCCCCAATTTGAACTCCCACACGCATATATATGGAGGCCACTTGATATTGAAATTCTGATACAGGAATTGAAGTGCAAAACAATTTAAGAGTCCACAAATATGTTAAACAGAATTAAACCTGAGTGTAAATAAAATTGATCCAAGAAATTGTTTGAACACCAACCAGCAAATAAAAATAGTCCATCCAAGCCTGTCTGCCATTTATGATTATGCTGATCAGTTTGCTTAAAAAAACTTCGGGCATTTATATATCATCTTTCAAAAACTTATTTGTTTAACGAATTATTGAGGTTTGTAATTTATTCATTAGTTCATTTGCTCAAATCTATCAAAAATATAGAATTAAAATTAGATAAATCATCCTTATAAAGTTCACGATGAAATGAGAATGGACGGAAACCTATTTAACCACTGTAATATCTGGCCCATCCGGGGCAAGAGCGTGAGAAACAAAAACAAACGATGCAGACAGACGATATGAGCCAGCACATGAGAACGTGTTGTGTGTGTCCCATACAGATAAACAAATTAATTAGAATATAAATGAGGGGTAGGAGCGGAGATGCAGAGTAACAATCACAGCACAATTTCAAAAAATCACGTTTATACATCATGTATACTGCATCTGTGTATGCTGCATGGGATGGAGGAATGCACATCAATATATCGTTAATATTAAGTTTACAAATAGCAAAAATTTTAATCTAATAAACGTTCCACGTCACCAGCAAATGATTTATTTCTTTTCATCACTAAAAAGGCCTTGGGGAGAACGAACGTGAACGTACATGAACGAAGAACGACACTTTATAAAAATTAGATGGAACAACATTGAGACCATATTGATTCTTAAAAAGAAAGTAAAAGTAATGAAAAAAAGAAGAGTTAATAATAAAAAGATTTCCAATATATTGCATATGAACCATTCAAGGCGAAGTAGTTTCCCCAGTATTGCATTGCACAGATAGTGAACAAATTTTTTTCACCACACTATTATTTATTGAATGTTTTGCAAGGTCATGTCGTAATTTTGATCAACAGATTAATTTATGAGACACCGATGTAGCGCAGTTACTGGAATGAAGTGCCTATAAAAACAAACGACATTGCTAAGCCTTCAGCCAAAATAACTACTGCCATCTGATGGAGTTATGACAAATATGGAAAATATTCAAGGTTGAACGTTCAGTAGAGTAACTCTGGCAACATAATTACGAATATTGCGTGATGTAAATGATAGAAGGAAAGCATGGCGATAAAGTGTGCTGGTGGTGGTGTTTGGAGATAATTCATAGAATGTGTACACGGACTGTGCACTTCATCAGTGGAATGTGGTACTCTTGTCAAGTAGTCCAGATGTAGATAGTAAATAACAATTAGACTGAACTGAACTTATCATCCTACTAACAAAAACTGATCAATGTGAAAATGGTCCACAATAATTCCGTTAATAAAATTAATTAGCGTTTAAATTTAGCAGGCCAAATTAAATTAAACTATTTAAATGTACAGCAGATTTTATCATTTATATATTTATTTATTCATTTATTTATTTATTTATATAGATGACAGATAAATTAATTTTTCAGTACAAACACCACCTCCAAAACCAAAAACCATATTACACAATTTACACGTTTTTGTTATCGATCACATCAAGTAAATTATTGACATAATTTTATTTCAAAAATTTAAAAATCAAATAAAAAGAAACCGTGCATAGCACAGAGTTGCATTGGGTTAGTTAAGTGCGGTGCGGACAATTGCACAGTGATGAAATAACAAACAAACTGAACAGGCAGGCCATTGTACTGCTAGGAGACAACATCAAAGGAGAAGAAGAAAGATATAGAGGAGATGAGTAATCAAGGGTAATAAATAAGTCACAATGAATTATTTTCCATTCCATCAAACATGAACTGCAAGGGCAAAACCTTTCATGTTGCAATCAACTTCGAGAAACAGGCTAGCATGATAAAAGAGATCTCTTTCAACAAATTCCTCTCACATCTTCCTCTTAATATGGCCCAAGCAACATTGCTGAAGAAACGTTTCAGTTGGTGTTTCATCAATTTTTCTGTAAACATACATTTCCAATAAACTTTCAAGCCTTATCAATAATATTTTTTTTTTATGCAGCAGCTAAGCCTTTGTTAGGGTGTTATTTATGCTACAACTGATAAGAAAGCTTGTATGTAATTGCAGTACAGAATGAGTATTACTAAATTAGATTTCCAAGCAGAATATAAAAATCAATCAATCAATCTTCGTTTTGCATCCAGAGACCCGGGTTCCCCGAGGTAGGACGTAAGTAGAATATAAAAGTGATAAAATTGAACAACAAACTAAGCAGTTGAAATTCCAGTTATTTATGGACTTGTTCTAAATAACAGCAAATTTCTTGGTGTGTGTGACCATGTTTCAAGCAAATATTAGTTCACAGATTTAACCAAATCATAGTTGCCAAATTTTTAATACAGGAATGTAACAACGTTTGTTTCTTAATAAATAATATATATGTGAATGTACTTATGAGGCACATGTATCTATCTATAGATTATTTGCAAATAATGTTAATTAATGAACTTTCTCATTGCTTGTTACTATACAGCATAACAACAGAAACCAGTTATAAAAAATATATTTTTAAGCAGAGAAAACAGACAAGCTCAAAATTTTTTTTGTATAATTCTCCAACTGTTGAAAGTAAGTAAGACAACATTGTTAGTTTATCACATACTATTTAAAACTATGTTACTTGGAAGTAGCATAGTTACTTTATAATTATATATTACCATATAACATTACATTTATTCAGTAATGTGACAACAACTTTATTATACTTTTTAATCATTAACAGATAATTAAATGAAAGATTTCAATTTCTTGGTACTGTCAATCATTGATTCTCATTTTACACATGTCCTTCTCAACAGAAAACTAGTTTGATTGCAAAAATATGAAGTGTAAAAAAAGAAATAAAATAAATTAACAAAAATAACATTAAACATGCAATGAAATAAAGTTGAATTAATGCAAATTTGGTTTAGTCAATATAAACTTAGATGTTATATTTCCATAAATTTTATACCCCTAAATATCTTTTTCACTTAACAAAATTATTTATACATCATTTTATTTTATCTCCATTTGACAATCATCTGAAATGTTTAAAAAAATCATAAGGTTACAAATATAAGAGCAATTAATTTTATAAAAAAAATTTCAATTGCATTTAAAATATTCTAAGTGATTAAAAATTTAAAAATAAGTCAAAAATAAAAAACTCTGATCAATTTGTTAACTCTAAAAAAATGTGAATGACTATCTATCTACCATGTTGAAACACATTGACCCTTCAAAGCTAAATTTAAGTTTTGTTTTGATAACTTTTAGCAGAGTGATAAGCATTCTTCAGTTTTAGCAGGAACTTAACTGCAGATTGTATGGAACTTAACAAATAAATAAATACAAGCCAGCATGTATTGGATCAAGACAAACAAACAACAAAATGCATGCAATAAATAATTTCTGAAAAAAATTTCATCATCTTCATACTAATCTAGCAGCAGTTTTACATACTTCTGAATAATAAGCTTGAAAAAACATGTGCTAGTAAGCATAATTTATGTTAATATGAAATAATTATCCAAAACTGAATATTTCTACCAAGGCTATTATGTGGTTAACAAAGCTATGTTGCTTGGATCAATGAAACATATGTTGTGTAATCAATGATAACATAGCAACCCACATGATGTGGCCTCAGCATCAGCTAAATTAATTGAATCTTTCTAGGCCAAATGAGATAATTTAAAAAAAATACTCCACAAAATATGAACTTTTACATAGCAATGCATGGAGACAACATAAACAATCATCAGTTAATGATGCATTATACATGCCACATTCACTGTAACAAGAATAATAAGATAAATACAACATTGGAATTCATAACAAAATAGTATAAAAGTAATTTCAAATTCATCATCCAGCAAGAAAGTTAGTTTAACTTACTTTTGTATAGCTGAGGAAAAATTTAAGCATTGCACACATAAACATATGTGTAATTCACAATAAACAGCTTATATAACACAATGCTGAAGTGAATTTAGCTTGGCAGAGTTATACTGTAATAATTACTAAATAGAGTTCTTATCAATTAACCATAGTCTACATAAAATTAAAATGATCAAAGTGCACAGATGCATTTGTGCATAGAGAAAATGTACAAAACATCCTTACTGATAATATTCTCTCTCTCTCTCTCTATTACAAACAAAGAAACAGACAGACTATATCAGACGTTTTACTTTCAACACCACATAGCATATATAAATAACAGCCTCAATGAGAGTTCCAAATCCATACACATATTCCTATTAAACTCTGCATGAATCAACAACACTGGCTAGAGGCTCAACATGGATGAATGAGCAAGTAACTTCAATGTGTGTTCATGTTCATGATTTCTATTGTAAACAAATACATTCTCAGATCTACATCTCTGCTATCAGACCTCTATCATCAATGCACTGCTTATCTGAGATGTCTGCCTGGATATATGTGCAATCAATGATCAGTAGCCAGATTATATCATTAGAATTTTATAATCTGGTAGAGAGAAAATAAGAAACTTATCAAAACGTCCTGTAGTTATCAGGAAATTTAAATTAGCAAAGGGCATAGAAGATCTGTTTCTCAGTTGCAGTGATTGAGATTGAAATGAAAATAACCCGTATTCCATATTAAGAACTGTATGGGTGTTGATTCGAGTGTGTCTCAGTAGTAGTATACATAAGATGTAGTAATATACATAAGATGGCATAGACCATAACCAAAAAACCTCATTGTTAGAGAAGGTGTTGATACTAATTCAACATCAAGAATATGATGAAATGTGGTAGTCAGGAAACCAAATGTGAAAACTTCAAACATAAGTATGTGAATACCAGCAAGTCAGAAAGGAAATTAATATTATTCTATTCACGTGTAACATGATAAATGTAATAACAAATAAATGAATAAATTATCGGAAAAGTTGTTCAACCTCAGTAACTTAGTTTTACACAAAAAAATAAAGTTGAAACTAATGATCAAATTTATATAATTTCTAAATTAATAAAAATAGCTTGTTAAAATAATTATTTTGGTAACAGAAAACTTCATTTGTAGAAAGAATAATTCAAAGCTATATTAGATAAAAATAAAACTCATGAATTGAAAATACTCTTATATCAATCAATCAATCAATCAATCCATCTTCGTTTTGCTTCCAGAGACCCGGTTTCCCGAGGTAGGACGTGAAAATACTCTTATATAAGTATAAAAATATGAAATGAAATGCACAAGTTAATTAGTTGCTAACAGCAGACAACAACATTAATCTAAATTATTCATGCAGACAGAAGCAGAATTTGCATGCAAATGTATATCACAGTACTAATAAAAATCACATAAAAAAAATTCCATCAGCTATTATAATTAAATAAACCGAAAATTTATAAAAAAAATAATAATTCCAAAATCCAATAACTTTTATAAGATAAACTCTCTTCAACAAACTCATACTCAAAAACATTTAAAATTTCTTCCAATAACTTATTTGGAAAAAATTCTTCCTAACTCATAAACAGTTTCTCAGAATATGTACCCTCTAAAAACTTAATTAAAACACAGCAATTTCGTCATTCTCTTCTTTTTAAAAATACTTCTTCAGTCTTAAATTTCATTTTGGCTCATTTTGTTTCATTTTATCTATTTATTTTATAACAGACTTCCTTTTAAATAACAAACCAGCACATAATGAGATATGCAAATAACAATGAGAATGTAATTGAGCAGTTTGCTACTGCTTTAACTTTAACTTTTTTATGGCATCTTCATGAAATGAAATTATAAAGAATTGAATGAAAGTAAAATAAATATTAACTGAAAATTGAAACAAAAACTATTATAATGTATTTTTAACACTAGTCACCAAAAAAGTAGTAGTTAGTCAAGTGCTATCATAATGAACAAAGTAAGAAATCATTAATTTCAGAAAAAATTACAACCACTAATTTCTAATTAATTAATTTAATACATTAAATATTTCATTAAAAAAATCTAATCTTTTCATTAAATAATTTTTTGACCAATGTGTAAATAAAATAAACTATAAAAATAAAAGGAACAAAAGTTATGAAAATATGAAGTACCCCCTACCTCAAGCATCCATCTTGAGACAATTCTCCTCATAGCTGGAGTGATATCTTTTTGAATGTTCAAGCATTTAGGCGATGGCTGGTAGTTGTCTTCAATCTGCAACATGTTGGCCAGTGGTCGGGTGTCTCGGAGAAGATGTTCTCCATCTTTGGCTCTCGTCTGGCAGGCTTCAAAAGCATATTCTGTAGCGTAATATTCAGCTGGACTCTCCTCACAGTTCATAATCACCTGCTCATCTTCACGACAGATCAAATCAGGTGCATTCGCCATTTTGTTGCTGCTTGACTTGGATTAGTTATAAAAATAATTAAGCAGTTTCAAACAGCTGGAATTTATTTTTAGATGATCGAAAACCAGTACGCAGACACAGACAGGCTTGTAAATGTTTCTATCTATTTCATTTAACGATCACACGAAATCCTTGGTAAAAATTTTTTCAAATCTACGGTCCATGTATGTATAATTTTACCGTCTGTACTGTATAAAAAAAAGATCAATATTTTATTGATTTATCAAATTGGTTCAATTAAAAATTAAAATTAAATATACTTTATAGAATTATACAATTTATTTGATCACAATTCACGAATCCGCATTGCCACAACTCACATATCCCACTAACTAAATCACTAACCGGTAAACTATAACATTAATTTAATTAAATGAAATATTAATTCGAAAAAGGTGGAAGTTAGCAGCGCCAAAAGTTGGAGCTAACTAACATGAAGATTTGAAATGACATTTATAAGTCTATTGAAGAGAGTAGTAATAATTACTTGCACTGAAGCTACATAATTGTTTGATACGCTCCTCACTACAACTACTTGTACACCACACCAGACATGCATACATCAAATAAATTATTTTAATATTTGAAGCTGTCTTACATGCACAAACATTATGCAGACAATTTTAAGTTTCATGTACAAAATTCATTAAAATCAGGATATTGAAGCATAGCGTACTGTACCGTATGTTCTCGCCAATCTAAGTTTTTTTTTAGTTTTAATTGCACACAGACATGCTAATAAGAGAACCACATAAGAAGTAGAATAGAATGCAATTATGATTATATTCTAGTAATTACCAGCGCATTTGAAAGTCCAACGAAAAAATTTCTTACTATAATTTGAAATATATATTTAAACAATTCAACAAAAACTACAAGAGATTTACAAAATTTACAAAATGTTCACGCAACGAAGTGATTATCTGCCTTCATGGCTGCAAAATGGCAAACTCAATAGAAGACATTACTATTTATATTGAAAAAAGGAGAGACTCTATTGGCCGTCATCTAGCCAATAGGAGCATCGCATGAAACAGCCATTCATAAAAATTGCAAGCTGTGAACAGGCAGCTGTCAGAGCAGCCGAGTCGGTCAGATATTGAATTGAAAAGCTCATCACTGCAACTCGCATAGTTAATTCAAAAAGAATTATTTAGTAAAATTAATTTTTAGTTTATTACATACTTTAATTTCTTTAACTTTTATAAAAGAAGATGCAAGTTCAGGTTTGAATGTGTTTGAATATGTGCTCTACTTCTTTAGAAGGTTGGATGAACATGCAGATGTTAACAAAACAACAAACTCGATGAAAGCAGTTCGATATATATAATTTGCATTTTTAGATAGGTCACAAAAATATTCTTCAGTTTCGTCTGTTGATCTTCAGTCTCTCAACAACTTTCAATTTGATAAACCACTTTCAGCTTGAAAGGAATGCTCTTTTTTTAATGGAAAGCATAGTTACAAAAAATTCAGCATGGAGAGAATAAAATATTCTTAATAATAATAATAACCTTTGATAATTAATTGAAACATAAATTACAAGTTTGAATAAATAAAAATTTTAAGTGGTCATCTGCCGACGAATCAGACCATTTAAAAATGAAATTTCCTAAAATGTGGTGCATTGTGATGGTAGATTGAAAAGATGACCCGATAACACGCTGCGTGTGTTTATAGCACGTACAAGTATATAAGATTATTATTGCTGTGTGTGTGTGTGTGTGTGTGTGCGTGTGTGAGGATTTTAATAAATGGAAACTTGCACGTCATAACGAATGCAGACGCGTGTTTGGTTGCAAATACATATAAAATGCTTAAATCATACGTAGGACTAGCGAGCTCACGCAAATGCAATGCAGTTAAATTCACAAATTAGTACAATCATTACACAGATACAATTAAAAATAAAATGTAAGAGCGCATATCACGCTTCAGTGAAAATAAGTAAACTAAAATGCAATTGAATACAAACTAAACCCCTACAAATGTATCATAAATATTGAAATACAAAAATGAAAGGCACACACGTAGAAATTCAAATTATTCTCTCACTTAGCAATATTCATTTAATAATGGAGTGTTATCAAACTTACACACACATGTATTAAGGTATATGGATAAAACTAAACATCTAAATATGAATTAATACAGAAAGATATGCACGAATATAATTAACTATTATAGCTAATAGCTGGAGTAATAAATGCATTATAAGAAGAACACAAGCAGACAAAAGCGTCTCTGGTCAATGAAAAAAAAGTATAACAAACACACACATACTTCACACACGCACACACACACACAAACACACACACCTTGTATACGCCATATATACACACTTAACCTAGCAATGCAAGCACGCACGCACGCACACATCACATACACAATACATACAAAACATGCATATACACACTCCAAATACACTCCTAGTCACCAAATACATTCAATGCTTAAACACACGTGCACGGCGTCATAACTAATTACACTACAAAAACAACTGATATATAATAAATACACCGACAACAACGCAGACTACCAACCACTTGTAATCTTCATACTCGCCCACGATGTTCAGTTGTACAAACACAAACCTACAAACACATGCAAACACAAACCTACAAAACACATGCAAACACAAACCTACAAACACATGCAAACACAAACCTACAAAACACATGCAAACACAAACCTACAAACACATGCAAACACAAACCTACAAAACACATGCAAACACAAACCTACAAACACATGCAAACACAAACGTTAACATCTACTCTACTAAACACACACACTTTAAAACTATAAAATATCTTTTTTTCTTTGTCTCCTTTTTTCTTTCTCTTTCTCTCTCTCTCTCTCTCTCTCTCTCTACTATAGATATATATATACATATATATATGTATAGTAACTAATATCTGAATAAAGTTAAGTGTTATTAAGCAAAGAACAACACTGACGTACACACATTATATTCACATATAGAGAAGATCTTGACATATATAATTAGGAAGGAAAAAAAGAACGAAGTGAGAGAAAGAGAGAAAGAAAGAGAGAGAAGAGAGAATGAATCACGTTTTTAAAATGTTCTAAAATGGTTCTGTCAAACTTTGATGAAATCATCGCTTTTCTCATCAAAGACACAGATTATGCCACAGCCAGTTCTGAAATGTTCAACCAAAAAAAAAATTCTTCATCGTCGTCTTCATCATTATCACCATCATCATCATTGTAATCTTCACCATCATCATCATCAACATCAACCTAATGATAATGAAGCATGACAACCATGAGAAGAGTTAGCATAGTCATCATCACTACATTACAATAACATCATTACCGTCAGTCACAACCACCAACTTCTTCGTACAGTTAGTTACGCGATGGAATTGTTCGAATACTGTTTGTCCAAAACACAAAGACTATCATAAGACTATCATTAATTACATCATCATTGAGATCACATACAAATATTGTATAAGTATTAAAATTTATGTGTTTTTGCATGTTGTGTGCGTGTGTGTGTGCATGTTGTGTGTGCGAGCGTGTGTGTGCGTGTGCATGTGTGAGTTTTTTGGTTGTAATAGTTGCTTAATTGTTTGTTGCCCACAAGTGTTTTATTCTATAAAAATAATTACTAACATTTAAGTTTAGTCCATGTTTTTAATATTAATGAAGACTCAACGTCAGAATCTGCCCCAATCAATCAGTCGAATGTTTTTACATGTGTTTGCATATTTATGACCTCCTCAAATGTTTTTCCTCAAAAATTTATGAGTCTTCATTCATAAATTTACGTTCAAGTTATGTGTTCACAAAATTTTTAAAAGTTCAACCATGTTTTACTGTCTTCACATGTTCTTTTATGATTTTGTTTCAATTCATTGTTTCTGATGCTATTTTTTCAACTTTTATAATCTTGAATATTAAAACTGATTAACTCAATACAACTGTTTGTGTGTATGTTTGTGTGTAGGCATGTATATGTGAGCTACGACACCAAAATACGCTCCTATATTTAATATTTCTACATATATTAACACAAATTATTCAGATAATTCAACAACTGAATCAAATGATGTAAAATGCAGAAATTACCGAGATCAGAGATTGAAATTTGTATGCTGTGCTGCCATTTGACGTGATGGCTACATAGATGATGGCTGGCTGGATTACATCTTACTCGTTTTATTAATGGATCATTAAGCTGATAATAATTATTAACAACAGAGCTGATAATATTTCATTATTATTGTTATTTTTCCCAAAACAGTTTAACACTGCCAAAAAACGATTTGATAACTCGTGCAATTAACGCTGTTGTTAATTAACACCGAACAATTCATATCATATGGAACAATTTATATCCTAGCAATAATTGCGACTGGAAAAATGACAACTGCATCTAAACAATCACAAATCTTGACATTAGTGAACAAGATAATAAAATTTATAATTTTGTGTTTCGCAGCGGTCTGGTTCAAACGCCTGGTCCTTCCTTCAACCCATTGAAGGTTTCTTCAAACTAAATAACATGCCGTGTTTGTGTTGTGTGCGTTTGTGTACATGTATGTGTGTGTGTGTTTGAATGTGCGCTTCAAAAGATTTTCACGCAATTTCGGTATAAAAAGCGTTTTTATTAATCATTAAAAACCAGATGTATTTTTAATTTAAAATATTCAAGGTGTATTTTTCATTAAATCAAACATCGTTATAAATAAAAAAGAGCGCGCAATTAACCAGTGACGTTGAGGTGATGTTAGTCGTCCGACGAGGTACCCATTAATGTTGGCGAAGATGAAATAACATTAGGCACCCCTTCAAAGCATCTGAGAAGCGGTAGTTTTAACTTGTTTTTTTAAACAATTGAGGCCACTTGCCCGCGCAATAATTTATGAGCAGCCCCATCATAAACATGCTGTTGGAATACGTC